TCATTGTTCATTCAAGAACTAGCTGCTACTGGCTTTGAGCCTTCCATAGTGGGTTTTGTAAGAAGGAAAAATACATTGCTGTCCAAAAGGTATCTGACTTTATAATGGCCAAAGGGGTGGGGAAACCAAGCGTAGTGGTAGAAGGGACTTTCATGCGCATGCATGATTTTTTGCTGACTCACAACACTGCCAGATGCGTCTGTGGCTGCCAGATAGCGAAGTGGTGTAACATGTGTTTGTGGCATTCTCGTTTCACTCAAGATTACAGAATGCTTGGAACAGTGATACTGCATCAAGTTTTGTCACAAACTTGGGGATACCCAAGCGGAAACATTCCGCAAAATTCAGCAGGCTTTCGGCAATGGTGCAATGGGGGTCACTAAAGTTAAAGAGTGGTTCAACAACTTTAAAGATGGCCATATGTCGGCAGACAGTGACCAGTGTTCCGGGAGACCGTCAATGAGCCGAAATGCTGATGTCATTGAAAAAGTTCGGACATTGATCATGGAGGCCCATCGTTTGACCATCCAGGAAGTTGCTGATGAGGTTGGGATCAGCAGAGGTCCCGCAAACACAATTTTAACTGAGGATTTGGGCATATGAAGAGTGGCAGCAAAATTTGTGCCCAAGCTGCTTTTGCCGCAGCAGCAACAACTCCGCCTTGAGGTTGCACAGGACATGCTGGAATGTGCCAACAGGGTCCTGAGTTCCTGAAGACTGTGGTCCCTGGTGAAGAGTCATGGGTGTACAGATATGACCCAGAAACCAGGTGTCAGAATGGAAGAATCAAACATCCCTGCGGCCCAAAAAAGCACAACAGGTTCAGAGCAATGTGAAGGTGATACTGACTGTTCTTTCAATTACTGGAGTGTTGTGCCTCATGAGTATGCAACACTAGGCCAAACTGTCAATATGGAATACTACCAAGAAGTCCTCTGCCATCTTCGTGATGCAGTTCGGTGCAAGAGACCGGAGCTGTGAGACTCACGCAACTGGCAGCTGCATCATGACAACGCCCCAGCTCATTCATCACACCTGATCCAGGGTTTCCTGGCCAAGCATGGCATTCTGCAGGTTCGCCAGGCTCCCTACTCTCCTGACATGGCTCCTTGTGAGTTCTGGCTGTTCCTGAGATTGAAGACACTAATAAAAGGTTCCTGTTTTGACAGCCAAGAGGACTTCATACAGAACATGATGGCGCAGCTGCATGCCATTCCAAAAGAAGTCTTCTAGAATTGCTTCCCGTAATGGAAGGACCACTGGGCTAAGTGTGTGGAGTCATAAGGGGCATACTTTGAAGGGGATTAGGTACTGTAACCACCAAGATACAGAACTTTGTTTTCCTGGCCCAAGGTCAAATACTTTTTGGGCAGAGTATTATTGATTTTAATGAATAAAAGGCATCAGCATACGAATGCTAACTAAAGAAATTATATTAAGTCATGAGATAGAAGTTGAGTGGAGTGGTACCAGGACAAATTTACTTCCCAGTTAACATTCAATAAGTTTCAGTTTTCAAAGAGGACCAAAACTGACTTACCATCTACATCTAGGTAAGCTGTGCAAGCTATTCCAGCAATCTCAATTGTGTACTTTCCAGTATCTTCCACCTTGGGATTACTAATGATTAATTTGTACACATCATTCTCATTCACAAATTTGTACTTTGATCCAGGGAATAATTCCTGCAAAAAGGACATTTTTTCTGACAACTGTGAATAAATTCTCTCAGACATGCAACATTAAAAATATCAGGGTTAAATATTTATATTTAAGTTTGTTACTCTCTGGTCATAGAACGAGAATAAAAAGTTCTGCAATTGTAACAAATCTTGTGCCAATTTGACACACACTACAGCACTGCATTCCATTTTCAACATTAAACTTTTCATTGTTGCAATATTGATTTGTCAACTCTGTCATTATTTTAAGTAACAATTTTAAAAGTTATGTTCAAACACAATTTTTTGTTATCCCTCTTGGTCCTCTCTCTGAAATACATGTTGGCCTGAAGCAACATCCTTGATGTTGGTTATCTAATGGCACTGACAGTGTCATGCCTATATAAAATCATATAATGGGATGATTTATGAATCTGGAGCAGTTGGTGGAATGAGAATTTACAGGAGAAATCTATTCAGTGCCACTTTTCCATCACAAATCCCACATGATCTCCAGGACCGAACCCAGGCCGACACAGTGCGTGGCAAATATCAACTTGAGATATGGCACTTCCCTAAAACATGATACAAATACCAAAACCTCCATTGAAAACACAAAGTCTGTCAATATTTCATCTTCATTAAATATACATATTTTGTAATTTCTTTGCATATAATTTTAATTCAGACAACTTAATACAACAGGGCAAATAACTGTACCATACATTTTATCTTTAGGTGTGTGAAAACAGAATGAAAGAACAGTTTTTGTGCTAGTAATAACAAGCACAAACTTAATTTATTCTTACCTCGCTTTCATTAACAATTTATATTTGTTATTTTGTTTATTTAAAAAAAACTGTGGATTTTAGGAAATAAAATTTTTGTTTTTTCAAATGTTATGTGCAACATTTTTAGTTTGTGTTGTTATTACTTGATGTGTAGTGAATATATATTTTTATGGAACGAGCATGTGAACTTCTAAGAAAATAACATAAAAAATTATTTATTAGTTAGAATATTGTCTCCAAATCAGAGTATCTCAGTGGGTGTAGTCTTTGTTTCTGGGGAGTATTTAATGAAGGCAGGTACATCCAGAAATACAAATGTAATCATGAAAGATTTGTGGTAGCACAAATTAACATATTATCACAATTAATGGAGTGACTGCAGATGGGTTTTGGATTGGTGAATGGATTTATTGCACACTAATACATACAATTCATAACTACAACTATATTGCTAATTCACACTCTGCAGTTCACTACAGTCTTCTCAATCTATTTCTTCAACAGTTTTCTGGTAACGGCTTCCAACGGCTGACATTACGCCTTCCTCTGTGTTTCCTAACAGTTCCTGTGCCTCAGCTACCAGCTTATAAAAAACAGCTCAAAAGGACTGAGCTGCAGTAGTCCTCTAATTCACTCACAAACCAAATTGCTCCACCAAATCACTCTGACAGAGTTGGAGTCAGAGTTACTTTACAACTGGTGTTTTACTGCCAATCTGTTTGTCTTGGCGCCAAGCACTTTGAGGATCACAGTCAGAGATTCTTTTTGCAACTGAACCCTTGCAGTCATAAACCTTATGCAACAACCTCTGATGAGAGAATGTGTTTGTCTCTTATGAGTAGGCTTCATGTTTGTCAAATGTACATATGACATATATAACACACTATGAAAATTCTTCCTTGTTTGTTATATGCAAGTCCTCTGTCAGTCCAAGCTTTGCAAAGCAGATCATGCCTATCTCACTTATCTTATGCTACACAGCAGCTTGAAGTGTTGTATGCTTGACTATCACCAAGTTTAAGCCTCTTATATTGTCTATGTCTGGCTTTGCCTTCTCCTATATTGCAAACATATTTATTCTTATCATTTTGTATGACTTCTGCTTTTTCTTGCATAATTTTGTTATATAATCACATACATGCAGCAGGATGAAAGCCATGTGCAAATCATGAACTAGTGTGCACCTCGGGAAATTTCCAGTGGTGTGGAGAACCTTGTTTTGCAGTCACTGCAATTTTAAGAGGGGGGCTGGCGTCTGCCGTAAATTCCAAGGCAGGGCAAGCATAAATCATTGCTGATCTAATTAGTGCTTTATGGGGGGTTAGTTTAAGGATGGCACTTAAATGCTCACTTTTGAATAGGGAGTAGATTCTAATTGATGTTCTGAAGGCCTAGGTTTCAATCATTTCTGTGTGCAGTCTCCATGAAATCCTCTTATCTAAGTTTACACTGAGATATTTTACATGATTGATGAAGGGGATATTCCATACATTTATTGTAACATGAACCTCAAGGGACCTAAGTCTATTTTCATTCATTTTCATGTTCCAGTGCTCACATCACAGCGCAGTAACTCTGAGATTTTGCTGGAGCTTTCTGAGAACAGAACTGTCTTTGCAGTCTGTCACATACAGAATACAGGTGTATATACAGGTGTAATCAGCAAAGAGATCCAGAAAGGCACCAGGTGTTTGATGGGGTACCATTTATATATATTGTAACGTGGTTACGTTACAGAAGACGCCGTAGAGATCGTTAACTGGTTTTATTTAACAATCTACAACTATCGGCTATAATTAATGATCACAATATTACGGGTTTCCACACTTTACGAACCCTACAACAAAATCTCTTAACACAATCTTCACTTGTCTTCACGTACTGATAACGCGGGAGCTATACAAGTCTCCCTGAAATACACACTCCGAGTATAACTGTACTACAGCAATCACTATGTCTGGAAAGCACACAATAAGTCTTCCGCTCGCTGACTTCTTAGTTATCGCACACTCGCAGGCTGCTATGTTTCAACTGA